TCGAATCGGGACCAATAGTGGACGAGCAGCCGAACAACTTACACTCTACAGAGGGTTTAGGCGGGCAAGTTGAGTTTACTATCGTCTGTACAGTATATAAATTAGGTACTAAGTCTAATACAGTACTGTAATTTTATACATTTCTTGTGAAAAAACATTTCTTATTCAAGGGCCATAAAAATTATTTCTATTAATGATGTCTCCAAAGTTTAACGAATTTTTCGCAGAAAAATAACTTATCAAAAAACGCGCCCGCCATTTGGTGCGCTGCTCCGCGACGAAAACAAGCGTAAGCAATGGCGTGGTCGAACGGCGCACACTCTGTAAGTAATCCTACAATTTTTTGTTTATAACAGTTTATATGGATTATTTCCAAAAAATTATACGTGTTTTGGAAATGTTGAGTCAAATTAGTCTAGAATCGATTAATTTTATGGAAGAAAACCTTTCAAACAGCCGTAGTCCGTAAATTGCACACATGCCGCGCTGTGATTGGCTCGTGTATTTAAGGATTCCTACAATGCGAAATTCTCATAAAGTAGAACGTATAAGAATTACCGCGTTATAGGGGGGTCGACTGTATATGTAACAAATCAAATTGTGTGTAATGTAGTTAATTAAAACTTAAAATATAACCAACATTTTTAATTTTGGTTTACTGGCCAGTTAATTATAATTTTGTAATTCTAGAGTGAAAAGGAAGATTCATCTTATAAAGTAGGCAAGTGATACATGATTTGTTTTTTATTTAATTAATATCGCATATATACTATGCTTTCACCTTTGTCACACTATGAAATTCTGAAAAACATGTAACTTACCGTTTGAACACCTCACTATACCGTTTGAACACCTTACTATACCGTTTGAAACCTCAAATTACTGTCGAGTACGGTTATAAAGTATTGATGAAGGTATGAAGGTTTGATAAAGTATTGGTTACACCCCACGAATACAAGCTTTCCTGTTATAACTTAAAAATTGAGGATGAAATTAATGCATCTGTCTGTATCCGTTATTCAATTAACACTAATAATATAAAAGTAAGAGCCTATTTGGCATTTCTTTTCCATTTTAAATATATTTATAATTTTTAATATATTAGAATTTCCTCGTATCTTAAAAAATAAGTATATTTGCATTGTATTAATGATAAATTTACGCTTGTATATAAATATAATTCTAAAGTAATAATTCAGATAATTATTCGTTTATAGTAGCTGCTAATAGAAAAATGGTACCTGATATTCAGTTTTGTTATAAAAAGTCTGTGCAACTTACATTATATAGACTTATTTGTTTCATAGATGATTTTAGTCTATGCAATGCATACTTACAGTATTATTGTCATGCCCTATATATATATTTCTTATTCTATAAAGACTACAGTATTATCCGACTCAATTGGGAACTCGGGTTGGTCGGATAACTGAAAAAATCGGATAACCGAAAAGAATAAAAAAATACATTATTAGTATAGTATATTAGTATATCCCATGTAATTAGTATATTGTATTAGTATATCGCTATTAACCTACCTCGCGTTGAATTTTCATCGAATGTAAGCCTAACAAAATTTTTTAAAAAATAATAATCGTCGCTACTGTATCGTTAAAAATTATTTTTAAATTATTTTATTGCTCACAAAACAAACAACCACTCATAATTAGAAAATTAAGTCTCGTTTAAATACTGGCCTCCCTTTCATGATCGAGCCAGTGTTGCCAGCTAAAACACGCAAAAATTTAACAAAAATAATATTAAAGTAGCCATGACATAGCCAAATATTGTAGCGCCACATCACTAGCGGACATTTGATATTTGCCGACTAGAATAGTCGGTTAACCGATGTGACGGTTAATCGGGGGTCGGCTAATCGATGCTCTACTGTAGTAGAAAATGGATCGTTGGGGCATGATAGATAGATGATCGCCATGAAATAAATGAACAGTGTTTGATTAGTACTGATATAGTCAGCATCCAATCAATTAACTCTTTGTTATTCATTATGCCCTACTTCATATTAAGAATTAGCGTAACCGGGAATGTATTCCGTGTATTTCCTACACCTCCACCTATTTAGTAGTGTGTTTAAGTTGCTTTGCTTCTAGAATAATTTCTATAAATGGGAATTTTTTCCCAATAGGATTTATGCAATGAAATTTTTTGCTTTGAATTACGGAATGCTTTACATTTAAATTCTAGAATATTAACATGCATACGCAATAAATCTTTTATGTCTTATTACAATTAATACGTATTTAAATAAACATACTGTAAAGTACTGTACGTAGAAGCAAATGGAAGAGTCACTGTTGCAACAACTCGTAATGTGTGCATCGCTCCATTTCCTTCCATGTACTTACGTTTCCGCATCCTCGCATCCAAATGCGCTCGTGTGCACCGGCATTTCAGTTGTACGTTTGCCTGCAATGATCCGTGATTTGAAATGCATATCTGCACACGAAGTGAAAATGTCGCGTATTTATCACAACAGGACGATAGTCCTGTCATTTGCTAATTACGATGTACGATGCTCAGTTGTTTCCGACTATTTGCTTATGTTGTTTTGAGTAGTGGACCCGTAATTTCAAGAAGTTCTTGAAATCTGTTTTTGTTCATTCTGTAGAATGTGTGAAATTTTGCATCATCTAACAATTCCCTAACAGCAACGAACATTCTCCTATTCGGCTAATAATTCTTCGAATATAAGGTAAACCTTTTTTATTTTTTTTCTCCTCTTACGATGACAAATATAACAGTAAATTAATATGTATTTCTAGTCACTATGCATCGTCTCGACTGAAGAAGCTGCTCTACGAATTCTACATGTTTGTAACACGATCCATGTAGGTACGTAAGCGTACTATACACGAATGATCGCTGCAAGTCGAATTTCATATGCGTCTATGGCGATATATGTCCGTGGGCAGATGGTCAGTTTAAATGCTATAACGTTATGGCATTCCATGATAAAATTTATAGGGAATTTATAGTACACCTATAAATTCCCACTGTCGTCCGTCTATCCTTCCTTAATCTCGAAAACGATAGAACGGAGTTAGATAGATGAAAGTACAGACAAGATATAGAAAGTTTGTGGTCAGGAGGCCCTGATTAACTATATACGAACTTCCGGTGTAGACCGAAAGTCACATGATTTCAATTCAAAAATTTTTCCCGGAACGGAGTTACATAGCTGACCAGCATGACTGTTATCAGGAAAAGTATGATGTACAGGGGAAAGACACTACTAATTTGAGGTAAAGAGATCAAATATTTTAAATTAAATAAATTAAAAATATGATTAAAAATGGGCTGCAATTTTTAATCATATTTTTAATTTATATAGGTGCTCATTTTATATATTTTTTTTTATTTGTTGAATTATTACAAAATCTTTTTTTTTAGATTCATATTAAAATAATAATATTTGAATACTTATTTTTGAGTTAATTATTATTGCCATATTTAATAATAATTTTCAGTACAACCTATTAAATAAAATACGTAGTTTAACTCTCAATAAATCTCTGAAGATAAAAGATATTTATTCAATATTATAACATCATTTTGCCTTTATTAATAACATAATACACAAAATGAAAAGAACAATAATAAAACACATTTCAAAATTTATATTTGGTGATACTGAATATTCATTATTCAATAATAATACCACTAAATAAGTTTGAAATATTGTCTTAAAAAACAAACAATAGTTAAAACATTTTGGCAATTTGCTTAATGAATTAAAATTACATATAAAATTGCTTCTATTACTTACAGCACATAGTGTATATTTTTCTGGTGTTTCATTCCCAAATGGCTAAATTGAGTCTTTAATTCTTTGGTGAATAAAATTTTTAAAAAATGCTGCTGACTAGTATTCTATACAGTGAAATTTCAGTAGTAAACATGGAAATTATTTTTTATTAAGTTGTGAATGATACAAAACTTAGTTTGACTGTAATATTCAATAACAAAGATATTTTACTTTCACCTAGGATCTTATTTTGAATTTAAATATATAAACTTTTCATTATATATATATATATTTTTTGCATTTGTGAACTATATCAATCTATGTTAAAATATACAAAATATAAAGAGGTGAAAAAAGAGGAAATTCTAAGGAACAAAATAGCATTAAAAAAACAAATGTATCCTACAGTCATCACAAAAAATATTTTGTTTTGTAATTTAAAAACATACATACATATATAATTTCTCAGGAACTTGTGATGCATATCTGACTGATAAATTAGAATTTTAAGATTTTGCAATTATGAATTTATTTATAGAAAGAAAAATTGTAATATTAAAAAATGAATATTAATGGAGGGATGACATTGTAAAGTTAGGTATGTGTAAAATTATAAATTATAAGAAAAAATTGAATAAAATTTGAAAGATTAATAGCACTTTTGAGAATAAATAACCTCATTAAACTAAAATTATCATTACGAAATTCTTAAAAATAGAACAAAAATTTAATTAAAATGAGGTAGAAAATAAAATAAAATTTTAAAAATAGAAAGATGGTAATATATACTTTGAGAAAATGCTGACTAAATTTAACCATTATATAAAAAAGAAGACAGAATGTAATAGTGCAGCTGAATGACATGAATACACTTTAAAATATTTCTTGTTCAACATTCAAAATTTAAAAAGATTACATCTTAAAAATTATTCTTTCTTCTGAAATTTTTTACAATTTATCTGTAAAAATTTGATTTGTTTCTTTTGATTTTAAAACATTTTCAAATTTTTGATTACATTTTATTATTTCTTTTCCTGATTCAATGTTATTTTTAATTTTTGTGTTTTTTTTTGTATTGACTTCATATTGTTACATTTCAGGTTACTTTTATTGTTCATTTTCATAACTTTACAAATTTTTAATTTGTTTTTTATCTCACTATTTTATAACATCATTTAACTTTAATTATTTTTCCAAAAAAAATTTCTTGAAAAGTTTTATAATGTTATTTGACCTTTGTTGTAAGTTTTGTGAGTGTGGGGGGAGTGTGTGTTTGTGTAGTCTCTGTTCTATAAATTTTAAATTTTTGGTAAAGTAATATAATGAAAGCTTAATGTTTGATAATGAAATGAAGCTTTATTTTTCAATTTATATTTTATGTAATTATTCTTTATTTGTATGAATTGTATATGTCTGTAATTATACTATATACTGGAAAGAATTAAAATTTCACAAATTTTATATGTAAAGACTGAAAACATGAAATTTAACAAAGTGATCCTAAGTCAAAATATCTTGAATAAGTGATTTCTTCAAAAAACAAGTGATCAATACCAAAGTTTCATATCATTACACTGTTTAAAATCACATTCTGTGATTTTTATAAAATACAAAAATAAACTTTAGATAGCAATATTTACAGAAAATGTTTTTCAGTTTAAAATAGATCAACTGCTTTTTTTAATTCCAATTGTTTCCAACGTGGCAATCCTTGAAATTGTGTATAAGTCATTCCGAAAATTTGTTCAAAATCATCATCTATCAAATGAATCTATAAACAAGATAAAAAATTATAATATGACTTAAATATCATTATATTTTCAATGATATACGAACCTCTTTATGAGATGGGTCAATGCCTTGAGGAAGATGTTCTGGATCTTTAATCTGAAGAACTTCAATTGGAAATTTGTCTACTTCTTGCCTTAAATCTTGATTAGCAGATATCTTCTAAATTCATTGGAAAAATTTTCTCTAAGTTAACTCGATTCTTAAAATTTATTTTTTTAGCATTATATCACAACTTACTTGAGCAATTACTACTCCACTGTTTTCCTCAGCTAATTCAATTTTTATTTGTTCATATGTTTTCTTTTTCTTTATGTAAAAACAGAAAATACACGAATTGATTGATGATACAAAGAAATATAAAACTCCAAGAATAAAAATTGAAAGTAATTTACTTTCCAAAATTTATCATCCCAAATAGGAAAAAATCCAGTAAAATTTGGAGGTTCATAACCTTGTTTTACAACTGTAATTGGTGTTGCACAATCTCTTCCAGTTGGATCAGTAGACAAATATTCCTGTATTATTGTTAATAATGTTTTGATCAAGATAAGCGATTTTCTGTGCCTAAATATAACTAATTTAAAATATACAAACTTCTGCAATGAGTACTGCTAATCTCCTTTCTTCAGTCTTAATACAATGTCCAAGCCATATGAAAACAACATTCCAAGCATCTAAAATTACTAAATCATCTTCAACTAAATCATGTTGATCAAACCCAAGTATTTCGTGAACATCTAAATGTCCAGAATTAATTGTACATTGATAAAATCGAGCTTGACGTGTATCAACTTCTTCCTAGAATAATCATAAGAAATAATTTAAGAAGGAAAAATTAATTTTAAATGGGAGTCTTTAAAATTACAAAAAAACGTCAACCTCTGAATGAATATTTTGATTATAAGGCTTCTTCCCTCCAATGGCATTCCAAAAGTCTTCTCTTTCTTGGCCTTCAGAAACTAATACCATTTCCCTGATAAAAAATAAAGTTATATTTCTTATCAAACAAAATAAATATGACTTTTTATTATAAGTACTAACTATTAGAAAAATTAACACTAGTTCTAATTTCTGCATGTAATGAAATCATAAAATGCTCATTTTTAAACTGAAGAACTGAGGAAATTGAAGAAAGATCATTTATAAATGATCTTTCTTCAGTTTCCATAGAAAAATTACCTGAATGGTTTTTAAATGAGAATAACATTGAAAAAGTTAATTATCAACTTGGACCTTGTTTATAAACAAGACTTATATTGGTGTAGTTTCTGATTAGCAAAGAGAGGTAGTTTTAGTCAAAAGTCAAAACAAAATATCTTTATTTTAACCTGGTGAAAATAAAGATATTTTGGTCTCAGAACCTAATATGGTTCTTAATCTATAGTCTATACTTTCAGGGATTTTGGGCCCCTCCAGCACTTTAATCTGAAGAATATTCACTTAATCAAGCTACTGAAAGAGCTATTGTAACCAGTTTAAGCAATTTGACAAAAATTATATCAGAATAGCAACAGAAATGTCTAGTGATCATATATTACCAGTTACTTTTTTCACATTTATAAACAGCATTCTTTTGTTTAATTTAATTAAAATTTCTTTAAAGTTATTGAGCAATGTGAGCAAAAAGCTTACAACTAGTTCTAAACAAATGGCATTTAAAATATTATACAAATGTCCAATTCAAATAGTTCCTGTTATAAGGATTAATACAAATTAATAAAAATGTAAAAACATTGTTTGATGGAGATAGTGTTTCACTTTTCCAAAGTTTAATATTTGGATATTTTGTCTGTGGATTATTCTAGAACATTGATTTTAAAACTGTTTTAGAATATTTGTCATTTAAAATTTGGAACTAAAAAAGCTATTTTTACTAAAAAAATTTGTTCTGTAGAAATAAAAATGTATCTTAGAATAAAAAGTTTTATTAATATTATTATTATATCATTGCTAAGAAGAAAAAAATGAAAGCTTTATATATCTATTTAAAAAGTTATAAACTAACACATTAATTTTCAATGATCTTTTAAATATTATTATTACTATTTACAAGAACTTTTCTAATAAATTTCTATTATTCAAAAATACCTTCCAGATTGAGAAGCTATTCGTTTTGCCATTTCTCTTTCATCTCCAGTACTTCTCTGAAATAATGGAAACATTTCTTTTAATTTATTGGAACATGAAATATTTTGATTAATTAATTACTATAAGTATAATTTTATAAAATGTTTCAGATTTACTTTTCCAGCCCAAACGTAAACAATTTCTTTAGTCAAAAGAACAAAAACATCATAGGAATTAAGAGATGATGCACATTTCTGAACTTGATTTGCCTTTGTTGTAAATTCACTGGTCCCTTGAACATGCAATAAGTAGGATTGATCTTTATTATGTGATATACCATTTCGTGTGCCAATACTGGTCCTGCCCTATATTTAAATTTATATATAAAAATATGGAAATTTAATTTGTATAAATAAATATATACAGTACACTCACTAATCCAAATTATTTATTGTATGAAGTTGTTCAGATTAGTGGAAAGTTTGAATTAAAGGAATACATATAGAGAAAATAAAGTAAAAAAAAAACTAAAACAAATAAATATATTTTTTTCAAAATTTTATACTGTATTTGGTATGTATATTTATGTACAGTACAAATTAATTTTTTAAATTTGTCATATTTTTAAAAAATAATGTACAGTACAGTTTCTTTTTGTTTTTGGCTAAAGCATTTAGTGAAAAAATGAAAAGGCTCAGATTAAATGGAGTTCAGATTAGTGAGTGTGTACTGTATTTTTAAATAATTTTGTTCATTTAATTATGTTATGCTATCACTCACCTGGAAAATCATCATCTTTCCACGAAATAAGGCTAAAAAGTGAGGCGGTTCTTTTCCTTCTATTACTCGTGTCTAATAAAAAGAAAAATTTTTAATTATTTCCAATTTTAAAAAATAATTATAAATATTATAATATGGCCATGCATCTCAAAGATCATGCTAATCTAATGGCAGAGCAAGTTATGATATTCTTATTTATTAGATAAGCAGGTATTTGAACATAACTGCTTTGAGTGATTTTAATAGAGCAATTTGATTGACCAATTAGTTTTAATAGATGTGCAACACTATTAACTTCTGAATGGAAATTATTTTTTGATTTGGTAAAGTCTTTACTTTTCAAAGTAATACTCTTTAATTACCTACAGTATATATTTTAATCCAATAATGCATTTTGATATTGATGAATATGATAAATCAATTTTATATATATAGTATGATGTAGAAGTTCTTTAAAATCCAAATGAAAAATTGTGCAGAAGGCACTACTTATACATTAAATATGAGGATCATCCAGAAACTAAGAACCACTTTTGATAACAGTTGTGCACATCACCACCTGGTTATGTCACAGTCAGCCACTTCAATTATCTCCCAGCTACCATTGTGAGAAAGTTTCAATTGCCTATCTTTTGTTTCTATTATTCTAAAGACTTTTAAAATGAGCAAAAAAATTTAAAATCTTGTCAGTTGTGAAGTACAGTCTGACATTTGTTTTTTGAATGCAGAAAATGTTAAACCATTTGAAATTCATCACCAGCTTGTTGCAGCATACAGGGAATGGGTAATGAATGAGGGTGATGTTTGAAAATGGTATAATTTGTTTAATGGTGATAGAATAGATGTTCCCAGTGAGAAACATGCTGGCAACCCTCTCTCATCACTCAGGACTTCATCAGGAAAAATATCACATCATCACATGTGATAAAATATGAGTGTCTCATGTCATACCAGAGAAATGCAAATCTCTGGAGTAGCATCGTGCACAATCACACCCATCAAGCTCAAAAAATTTAAGCAAACACTGTCACAGTTCAGAAAGTGATGGCCACTGAAGTGGAAAATGTAGCTGCAGGCACTGACATTGTCAATGATAAATCAATCAATGTGCCATATGGTGTTTGATTGACTTTGCAAAAGTTTAAAATCCCTCAAAAAGTGCAGAAGTATTTAAATTAACTAAAATTTAGTTAGGACAACAATCCAGATCATTTCAAGGTTCATTTTGACCAGCTCAACAGGATTTTTCCAAACTTTCAAATGGTCAGTCCATCACTGACATTTTTGTAAAGATGTTCATGCATCCACACACACTAGTAACCAACCTCTCTCCAACAGTAAAAGAACTCATATCTGTCATTTCAATGTTAGCATTGAAATGAAAGGTCCATATTGCATGCAAATAAGGTCATGCGCTCATGATCCTCTCCAGCAAACATTAAAGGCTTATAGGGATATATGGACATTACTAAGGAAATCACAAAGGTTTATAACAACAATATATGGACTTCCCAGATATGCTGTATTTTTACAACCAAGCGGTTCTTTCTTTCTAGACAATCAATTGTAATAGATCCTTCAGTTAGAAAAACATAAATAGAATAATTATCATACATGAATTTAAATTGTGATTATCCTCATGTAAATCAATATTTCAGATAAATTTAAATACTTACTCAATTGTTTTACTATAAAATAATAAACAAATAAAATTTTTTATGATTTAAACGCAGTAAAATCTGTCCAAAATGGAACCTAAATAAAACAAAAACCTGCTAAATTGAAAGAATTCTTCAGAATGGAGTGATTTTCTATGTTTAAAACCTTTTAAAACTTGCCAAACCAGAAAAAAATATTCCATACTGTGCATTACACAGGTTTTACTGTATAAGTAAACTTTAACTTACAAGTACACTTAATTCTTTTAATCTTCGATCTAATTCAACTGTTTTTATAGCAGAAATTTCTTGTTCTTCTTTTTTTGATTCATTTCCCTAAAATATAATTTGACAATTATTTGTATTAAATATGATTTATGATTTATCTATTAAATATGGCAATATTTTTTTATAATTTTTTAAATAATTCATAAATTTTCTAAATAGTAAAATAAAGTAAATTTAAAATATTTTTATGAATTTCTACATTCTTATAAAATCTCATATCTAAAATATTTCCTGGATATGATAATAAATTTTATTNAAAAAATTTATATTGAAGTTAATAAAACAATCTAATTAAATTTAACATTATTAAATTAATAAATATAACATTTACAATAATTTTAATCTAATTAACTCAAAGGATTTTAAGAATTTGAAAATTGAAAGACTTCACAGCAATGCAAAACATTTGTAGAGCTGAATGTGAGTAAAATGGTTCAAATTTAAAACATTTAAATTTCAGACATTCATCTGTAATTGGATGGCAAAGAAATTTCTAAATGAATAGTACATGTGCAAAAAAGATTAATTGCACAGAAAATAGCATGGACAGACCATTTGAAAAAAACAGCATTTGCAATCATGTAAACAAGCTGTAAAGTTTATAAAGCACGTATTTAGTCCCAAAAATAGTCAAATCTGCAAAATATACAATAAAAACATGCATAAACTATGAGTTTTTAAAACATATTATTGGACAACTTTAATTTGATCCAATTAGACGAAAATCATGTTTATATTGCAGTTTCAATAACATAGAATTTAAGGAAAAATATGTACTTGCAACAAATCTGCCCTTAGTAACTATAATGCTTTAATTAAACTTGCCTTATAAAATATAATATGAATAGGTCTATATTTATTATATTAAATGTAAAAATTATAATTCTTTAAATAATGACTAAATTATAACACTTATTTATTTGATTTTTAGTAGAATATTTTAAAGTGAAGTCATTTTAAAAAACATTAAATATATTATAACTTACAATCCAATAATATATCATGAAATGATCTCGTTCTTCAGTGCTAAAAGCATATAATATCACATAACAATTTCCACTGTAAAATTTTCCATGTTCTCTTGCTTCTAAAGGTATTAAATCTGTCTGTTCCACACAAAAAACCTAAAAGAAAAATTCTTTTAATTTATACTTTAATAACAAATATATAAAATAACAGAGTAGATGCAATACCTCTTTACTTCCCATTCCATCGTCTACCATTTGTGATTGAGCTGCAAGTTGACGATTAGAATGAAGCGTAGCAGCATCAAACTTTGTTTGTACAGTTTTGGCTAAAATGAATAACATATTAATGAATTAAGACATTAAAACAGTAACATTTTTTATGCTGTTATAAAATCAAAAGTAATAAGCCATATGATATTATGGTTAAGAATGTTGTATTTTTTAAATGCACTTAAACAGCCTTTATCCAATGTCTAAAAATAATTATTAACAAGCAAAAATTATCGTGACATCATCACAATTCCAGGCTGCAATTTTTAATCATATTTTTAATTTAATTAATTTAAAATATTTTCTCTCAATCTCAAATTAGTAGTATCTTTCCCCTCTGCATCATACTTTTTCTGATAACAACAGAGTTATGCCAATCAGCTATTAAAATCACATGACTTTTGGTCTAGACCAGAAGTTCGTATAAAGTTAATTAAGGCCTTCTCCCCCTAAGGTTTCAATATCTTGTCTCTACTTTTATCTATCTGACACTGTTCTTGAGATTAAGGAAGGATAGACAGTGCAAATTTATAGGTTTTATAGGTCTACAATTTTTTCAAATTGTAGTCCAATGAAGAATAATATGTTTCATTTTATTTTTAAACAAATGTCTAGATTAATTTTAAATATTTTCATAAGTTACAATTAATTTCTAAGAAAATTATTTAAAAAAATTTGGAGAGAATAAACAAATAAAATTTTTTATGATTTAAACGCAGTAAAATCTGTCCAAAATGGAACCTAAATAAAACAAAAACCTGCTAAATTGAAAGAATTCTTCAGAATGGAGTGATTTTCTATGTTTAAAACCTTTTAAAACTTGCCAAACCAGAAAAAAATATTCCATACTGTGCATTACACAGGTTTTACTGTATAAGTAAACTTTAACTTACAAGTACACTTAATTCTTTTAATCTTCGATCTAATTCAACTGTTTTTATAGCAGAAATTTCTTGTTCTTCTTTTTTTGATTCATTTCCCTAAAATATAATTTGACAATTATTTGTATTAAATATGATTTATGATTTATCTATTAAATATGGCAATATTTTTTTATAATTTTTTAAATAATTCATAAATTTTCTAAATAGTAAAATAAAGTAAATTTAAAATATTTTTATGAATTTCTACATTCTTATAAAATCTCATATCTAAAATATTTCCTGGATATGATAATAAATTTTATTTTTATAATATAATGAAAAAAATCAAAATATTATACTTATTTATTTGATTTTTAGTAGAATATTTTAAAGTGAAGTCATTTTAAAAAACATTAAATATATTATAACTTACAATCCAATAATATATCATGAAATGATCTCGTTCTTCAGTGCTAAAAGCATATAATATCACATAACAATTTCCACTGTAAAATTTTCCATGTTCTCTTGCTTCTAAAGGTATTAAATCTGTCTGTTCCACACAAAAAACCTAAAAGAAAAATTCTTTTAATTTATACTTTAATAACAAATATATAAAATAACAGAGTAGATGCAATACCTCTTTACTTCCCATTCCATCGTCTACCATTTGTGATTGAGCTGCAAGTTGACGATTAGAATGAAGCGTAGCAGCATCAAACTTTGTTTGTACAGTTTTGGCTAAAATGAATAACATATTAATGAATTAAGACATTAAAACAGTAACATTTTTTATGCTGTTATAAAATCAAAAGTAATAAGCCATATGATATTATGGTTAAGAATGTTGTATTTTTTAAATGCACTTAAACAGCCTTTATCCAATGTCTAAAAATAATTATTAACAAGCAAAAATTATCGTGACATCATCACAATTCCAGGCTGCAATTTTTAATCATATTTTTAATTTAATTAATTTAAAATATTTTCTCTCAATCTCAAATTAGTAGTATCTTTCCCCTCTGCATCATACTTTTTCTGATAACAACAGAGTTATGCCAATCAGCTATTAAAATCACATGACTTTTGGTCTAGACCAGAAGTTCGTATAAAGTTAATTAAGGCCTTCTCCCCCTAAGGTTTCAATATCTTGTCTCTACTTTTATCTATCTGACACTGTTCTTGAGATTAAGGAAGGATAGACAGTGCAAATTTATAGGTTTTATAGGTCTACAATTTTTTCAAATTGTAGTCCAATGAAGAATAATATGTTTCATTTTATTTTTAAACAAATGTCTAGATTAATTTTAAATATTTTAAATATTGATTAAGATCAGTTCTTCTCTTTTGAAATTTTTTCAATTAAAACTATATGATATCAAATAAACTGCCAGATTTTTTATTGAGCTGTAATGCTAAGCATCTGGCTGTTCATTTAGTATTTGAAATAACTATCATGTTAGTTGTATTTATTATATATATACACAAAAAATTCTGGGTCAATTATATAATAATTGACACAGAATTTTTTGCAACCTCAATTTCACCTTCAGTTCTGATTTGGAAAACATAAATAAACTTTATTATAAACAAATTTCAAAACACTAAATATTTTTTATTGTTAAATTAAAAATGTAGGTTCAACTTTCAAAATAAAGCAAACAAATTTTCAAATTAATTTCTAAATATCAATAAATTTCTGTAATATCAATAAAAAATTTATATTGAAGTTAATAAAACAATCTAATTAAATTTAACATTATTAAATTAATAAATATAACATTTACAATAATTTTAATCTAATTAACTCAAAGGATTTTAAGAATTTGAAAATTGAAAGACTTCACAGCAATGCAAAACATTTGTAGAGCTGAATGTGAGTAAAATGGTTCAAATTTAAAACATTTAAATTTCAGACATTCATCTGTAATTGGATGGCAAAGAAATTTCTAAATGAATAGTACATGTGCAAAAAAGATTAATTGCACAGAAAATAGCATGGACAGACCATTTGAAAAAAACAGCATTTGCAATCATGTAAACAAGCTGTAAAGTTTATAAAGCACGTATTTAGTCCCAAAAATAGTCAAATCTGCAAAATATACAATAAAAACATGCATAAACTATGAGTTTTTAAAACATATTATTGGACAACTTTAATTTGATCCAATTAGACGAAAATCATGTTTATATTGCAGTTTCAATAACATAGAATTTAAGGAAAAATATGTACTTGCAACAAATCTGCCCTTAGTAACTATAATGCTTTAATTAAACTTGCCTTATAAAATATAATATGAATAGGTCTATATTTATTATATTAAATGTAAAAATTATAATTCTTTAAATAATGACTAAATTATAACTTTATTAAAATTATATTTCACATTTTTATTTTTTAAAATTATAAAATAAATTATCTTAAAAAGAATTTGCTATCTGAAATCTCAACAATTTAATAAAAATATGCTGTATATAGATTTTAAGTACTACTTTACTATTCTTAAATTATTTTCTATTAAATACGCTTAATACATTTTGAATATTTCATAGGATGAAAATATTATATTTCATTATTTCATATAATGAACTTGCTTTAATGGAGTTATCATAAAAAACAATTTATTTTAATACTTTTGAGCCTGTAGATTAATTTTATATCTTTTATATCTGAAATATCTTATGAGTCTATTATTATTTTTAAAGATAATTCCATTATAGCAACTTTATTATCAATTAATTTGAGTATCAGGATATGGACAGAATCAGAATATATGCAGTTAAGAATTTATTTGATAAGGTAAAATAACATTCAATATACACTCATTGGCCAATGAATTAGAAACCCCCCATTCATATTAAGTAAATATGATTTTGCAAATATATGCAAAATCATATTTACTTGTTCATAAGCACCTATTTAAGAATGCTGTTGGTCAGTATGGTCATTAAGTTTATGAAAATGGGAAAAGTGAAGGACTGGTGGAGTTTCAAAAAGGGCTGATTGTGGGTCTTGCTGGAGCCACAATATCAAGAACTGTATAGCTGACTGGTTTTTCCAAAGGTGAGATATCCCAAGTATTCAATCAGTGGAAAAATAACCCATAGTTGATGTCTAAAAGAAGTAACTGTGGCTCCAAAACAGTTAATCAGAAATGCAACTGATGTTGTCTGAAAAGACTAGTGCAAAAAAAAAGGACTTTCTCTTTGCAGCAATTGACAGAAGAACTTAATGAATCCCAATCACAACCCATATCTACCCAAACTATGTGCAGGGAACTGTAAAGAATCAGTATGAACAGTCGCAGGCCTATACAAAAACCACTGATTTCTGCGAAGAACCAGAAAGTTCGTCTACAGTAATACCAAGAGCACTGTGATTGGACATCTGAGGACTGGAAAAAAGTAATGTGTCAGACAAATCATGATACACCCTATTCTGAACCCTATACCGATGGTAGAAAGAGGATTAGGAGGGAGCCCCATGAAGCAATGGACCTTGCTTGCCCCATTAACATGACTCAAGGTTCTAGTGAGGGTGTTATGGTATAGGGCATGTTCTGTTGGCACAGCACTAGTCTGCTGATATTACTGGAAGATTGGGTGATTTCCAATGAGTACTTGAACATCGTTGCTGATCGAGTTCATCCTGCAATGTTGCATTTTTTTTCTGCATGTGACAGTTCTTTCTTTGATAACAGTGCTATTGTCCATCACACAAGAATTGTCCAGCAGTGGTTCAGCAAGCATGAAGACAACTTTCACCACCCATCCTGGCCACCACAGAGCCCAGATCTTAACCCCATCATGAATGTATAGGACATGTTAGAACGACAGATCCGCCAGCAAAGTCCACTTATGTCAAATCTACACAAACTAAAGGAAAGTCTAGTGAATGCATTGGTCTTAGAAGCACTTCAGCACCTTGTAGAATCCATGCCAAATCAAGTAAATGATGTAATTCGAGCTAAAAGTGGTCCAATAAAATATTAAACTGCTGTTTCTAATTCATTGGCCAGTGAGTGGCCAGTGATATATACCATTTTAATAAATAATAGTTAGAAAATATAGTAAAATTGTATCATATGATATTCAGAGATATTATAATTATTAAAATTATAAATAATTTAATTTGTACCTATTTTTCCTATATTATGTTGTTTTCCAATAGCAGGTGTTGGAACAGCATCCCTCCAACTACGAAACTGTGCTTTAAATTCTGATGGTTCTCCACCATCAATTACTCTAGTAACTTGTATGTGATTAGGATAGCCTTTTTTCTTAATGAATCCCTAAAAATTTTATTTAAAACATTAAATTTTTGTATGATAAGTATTTTTAAAAATTATTATTACTGTTGATTTTAACCTGTGCATTTCTCATGGCTTCTGTCCTTTCTTTTGTGCTGGCTTTTTTTCCAACCCAAACCCAAATTCCTGCTTCACCATTATCAATTATATATGAATTCTAAAAATTTCATATTTTCAGTTGATCACAAGTTGTAATAAATAATAATAATAATAACCAGTGTTGTTTAGAGGGGAAGTTTAGGACTTTTTCCCTGGCAGGTAGAAAACTTAGGGACCCTTAGTGGTTCCTACACTTATAAATTAATGTTATTTTTACTTACAAAAGCTAAAATATTTAAAACTGTGTTTTATTAATAAAGAAAAATTTGAAGTATTTTATTTGTTCAAAAAACAAAAAGATGTCAATAGCAAAAAGGGACCTGTTAAGGAACAATTGAAAAGCATAAGTCCTTAATTAGTCCACTTACTACATGCTTTGCAAATTTTAATAAATACAATATGATGATACTTATTTATTCAATATTCCTGTTTGTTCTTGAATGATATCAGTACCATCAAATAATATAATTATAAGTTACAAGAGATTTTAAGGAGCTTAATCATAATAACATCAGAAGAATGATAAATAGTTATTGCTTGATTCAGTATTATATGAAGGAAATTCTTGTTTCACTTTGCAAAACTCATAAAAATTACACCAGTAATTAATTCAATCTACTATCAAATCAGAACTAAAAAGTGAAGTTTGAACATAAGTTGAAAACATATTTGTGATCTGAAGTAAGCAATGCTGTAAGTAAAAATATGTTGAGTATCTTTTTAATGTGATTTTTCTTCTACTTTTTGAATATCAGAATGAAAATTTAAAATATTTTATTATAACATCAATATTCCGATTTTTTGACAAAAAATTTGATGCTTTTCAAATCGTGTGAATTCGTTTGATGATAAACGGGTGTAAACTGTAAACAAACCATCCAATATTTTATCGTTGTTAACAATGTTATCTTGTGCTAGATATAGCAAATAGTTCAAACATGTAATCTAAATGTTATATTTCATTTTCGACAATAAAACGGAAATTAGCAACAAAAATATTTTGTTTTCGCTTTCTTATAAGGAAAGTTTTCTGTATTTTTTGTTTCGTTTATGTTAGATTTACCTAAAAATTGTTAATTCTTACGATAAAATGACATAAATTAATTTCAAATCTTTAAAATATCTTTAGAAATGGTACATACTGTATACGTTTACAAATGGTACAAATTATACGTTAGAAAATTTCATTATTTTCTATTTAAAAATCTAAAATGCAGAATAAAATCTGCATATTTTGGATTCATTCATGCATAGAATTTTCTATAAATGTAGACGAAATCGGCCATTTGGTCATCCTTTAATTCAGCATCATCGATGTTATTTTATCGTCGATGACATCATCAATTAACATTTATCGAAAAAATACTTTGTCTCACACTACATTGAAATATAAACTTTCTACAGAAGAAGCGCTATCATAACTGACAGTCTGCACTTCGTACAAAATGTATTTAATGTTATAAAACATTAAATACATTTTACACGAAAGTGTGAATCATCCTTTGCAACTGATTAGGGCAGTGGTTCTCAACCTTTTTAGATTTATGGCACACAAACAATCATGGGAAGGTTTTGGTGTACTTTATTATTAATTAAATATTACTTGACTGGTCAACAGATCAATCACACAGCTCTCTTTAATAGTTTTTCTATATTAAATTTAAAGATAGAAACTTCTGAAATATAGCTAATAGCGTATAGAAGTACTGTACATTTTGTTTCTTTTTTGTAAATTTTAAATTATTTCACTTTAATTTTTTTTATTTATCTCGCGGCACACTAGTACGCCGCGGCAATTCGGTTGGGAACCATTAGAGATTCATGTATACAGCGGCTTGTAGGCTATTTACAATTTTGTGCAAAAACCTCAAAAAAATATTTGTGAAAAGTTCAAATTTTATAATTTCAAACAGTTTTTGAATATATTTTCAACGGCAACCTTTTTTATTTGCTTTTTTATTGTACAATATCGAAATTGCTTTCGAGCAATTTACTGTGTCAACTGATGAAGAAGTATGCATTAGGGTAAGAGAATCGAATTTCTCCATCTTTATCTAGTTTGCGCGAGAATTAGTTCAATCCATACTCATTACAAACTTATACAATTAAGAAAAGAATGTTTTTCCTCCAAGTTTACTCGTTGGAAATGTCAAATAATCAATGGCCCATTTAAAATTCTGAACAAAAGACTGCATTGTCTGACAATCCCGATATTTTCTTAGACAAGAGTCATTTTAACCATTCTTTACTAAATCATTAAGATCCAGTTTAAATATTAGTTTCTTCTTGAACACTGATTACTAAAGACTAGGGCAGCACGAATAATTCAATTTTTTAACATATAATTGAAGTGAACGATTCAAATTTGTCTTTCTTTCCTATAATGTTTTCTTCGTTACTGTTTGTCCCAGTAGGGTCAAAAGTAATCAAAGGAATAATAAGTAAAAATACAATGATTATATTTTTGTATATATCATCAAAATTCAAGCCAATATTTTGAATTTTCTGAAGTTTTATATAATGCCCTAACTAAATAGCCTCACCTTTTAAAATGCCAACTTGTGAATGGATCTTTCCTATAAATATAAATAGATAATATTTCACTTTCTACGAATTATTAAAATGCGCGAGTTTGCATTATACAGCACTGTAAATGACATTGAGTTTGTGTTTGAAAGTTATGTAATATGTTGATAACAAACTTGTGTATATCTCATTACTATATAACATAACATTCTTATTGAAGTATTTCAAGTTTGCACCATACTCTATTTAGTGCCAATTTCAGAAATGAACAAATTTTGATGCTAAATCGAAATTGACCACGTGAAAATATAAAGATATAAACTAATATAAATAAGAAATAAAAATTTTTTTTATAAAAATAGAAAAAATTCTCTTCTAACAAACAATGCAGACCATAAAGATTTTACAAATGAAATTTTCAAGCATACATTTTTTAAGGAGGTTTAAATGTTAAAATATGGAAATATAGTTCTAAAATGCAGGGCTGTGGAGTCGCGTAAAAATCTACCGACTCCAACTCCGACTCCGACTCTTCCTTACCAATCCGACTCCGACTCCGACTCCGGCTAAAACACCAAAACTCCACGACTCCGACTCCGAGTCCACAGTCCTGCCAGGGCTGTGGAGTAGCGTAAAAATCTACCGACTACAACTCCGACTCCGACTTTTCCTTACCATCCGACTCCGACTCCGACTCCGGCTAAAACACCAAAACTCCTCGACTCCGACTCCACAGCCCTGCCAGGNGGCCAGGGCATGTACTTTAGTACCAATAAAATACATTGACTGACTGACTGTACAACACTGTATAATTGACCATGGTACCAGTTTGATGAGCATGCAAAATAAAACAGCAAAAATGGGAAATGTGATATAAAACTTAGAAAATGGGCTGCCAAGGGGTATGCAAGCCAAAAAAAGGTTGGAAATTGCTGTTCTAGAGGGATCCAAACAAGAATCTTTTCATTAAGGTTAAAATTTTTTCTATGAACCTTGACCATTTAATCTTAAGAAAAGTTCTTGTTTAAATGTTTCCAGAACATTTTTGTCTAAACAAAATATATTTGTTACTTAAATAACTGGTTTGAAAACTACCAATATACCAAACTACTCAAATTTCCTATTAAATTAATTTATATGTTTTATAATAATTTATAGATAAATTTATAGTTTATAGATTTATCTATAAACTATAAATTCCATAAACAATAAATCTACAGTAATTTATAAATAAAAATTATAATTTGGAAAAATTTATAAGAATATTATTTTATCAAAATTGAAGTGCTTATTTTAAATTGAGTCTTCAAAATGAAACATTTCAGTAAATAAACATTTCATATGTAGACAATTTCATGCAAAAATCAAGTTTTATCAAAAACATAAATTTACTAAATAGAAATTTATTATATACAAATTTTGATTATATAATAATATAAAAAATCTTAAATTATAATAAATAAAAGATATTTAATTTTATGTATCTAAATAAATTAAAATTTTAAAACAAAATTTATTACTTTAAAAACTAATTAAAGTTCTTTAAATTTTAAATTTGCATTATTGAAAACATGTTTTTTTTTTAATTTTATCCTATTTGATTTTGAAATAATAATAATAAGAAATAAATATAAATACAGTAGATTGTTTGATAAGAGTATGAAACTTTATTTAAATACCAATTATTTCCTGTTTATAAATTTACTTTCTTATGTATTTGTCTTTTTAATATTTAATTAAGTTTAATTAAGCGTTTAACATTTTAATATTGCATTTCATTAAATTTGTACATTTTATTTTTCATTATTATTTTTTCTAATATTATGTCTGATTGTTAATAAATTCTTTCCAGCATATTTATATTTTATAATTGAAAAACATTAAGAATTCATATTAAGAATTAATCATCATAAAAAATAAAGCTTTACAATGTGAATTTTTATATTTAAAGTTGTAAAAATAAATTATACATAGCATTTTATCAAATAAACTTTCAGGGAATAAAAGGAAAATAACTATTTAACTATATATTTTATTTCATACTGTAATATCATCACATTTTTTTTCAATCATTGAAAAGTCAATCAAAATAATTAACTTTTCTAAAGATTTATTTAGGAAAATATAAAAATTATTAACAAAGTAAAATGTTAATCGTCATTATTTATTAAAATACAAAATACCTCTTTTTCAATCTTTGGTAAAGATTGCTCTTTCCCATCTTCTACTAAAATAACAGTACCAGATCCAAATTCCAGTTTCATTTGTTGCGCAACTTTCACACCCTATTTATTTTTTATATTCAAAATTCACAAAATCAAAATTTTGTTTTTACATTAAATGATCATCTTACTAAATATAATTATTAATAGTTACCTGTATTTTTTCAGTCACATTAGCATTTCTTCCAGTCCAAACAAAGATAACTGAATGAATGCAAATAATATAAACTGCACCATCATCCATAAATTGCCAGTCAATTTCAGGTAACTGTAAAATACTGTATGTTATTTTATATATTTTTATTATATAATAAGTTATCTTTTTTATTTAAATATACAAATATACTTGTTGCACTACAGGTCTCTGTTTTCCTCGCACTTTAAACATTTGTGCTTTGATGTTATTGTTTATATTTGAAATGCCAGAAACAATGCCTCCTTCTAACAATCTAATTTTTATAAAAACATAAATATCTTATTTATAAGTAAGATATTATCAAGTATAATATATTTTTGAGAAAACTATACCTAATTCCTTTTTTAAAATAAGAAAGGAAACGTTTTGATTCCCATCCTTGCACTTCTCTATGTTGTACTGGAGTTCCTCCCAAATAATCATCTAATTCAACAGTCTTATAAGCTGCAACACCTGCTTCATCCTATTATAAATTACTTATTAGCTTATATTAGTAACTTGTTTAATAAACAATAATAAACAATAAAAGTATTATAACAAGTATATGTTTATAGTCTACCCTTACCTGGGATGTTTGAGCACCTAACCAAAAATGAATATGCACATCTAAAATTCCTTTAACTTCTCTAATCTAAATAAAATAAGCATTTAACTCCTCTATAACATTTTAGTTTTACTTTAAATCAATAAAAAAAAACATTAAAATTTTTCAAAAAGTTTTACCTTCATCATAGAATCACCTTTCTCTCCAGATTCTGTTATCTAATTAATATTAAACATTTTAATAATAATTTGGATCAAAAATTAATTTTTATATTAATTAANCTTAATACATTTTGAATATTTCATAGGATGAAAATATTATATTTCATTATTTCATATAATGAACTTGCTTTAATGGAGTTATCATAAAAAACAATTTATTTTAATACTTTTGAGCCTGTAGATTAATTTTATATCTTTTATATCTGAAATATCTTATGAGTCTATTATTATTTTTAAAGATAATTCCATTATAGCAACTTTATTATCAATTAATTTGAGTATCAGGATATGGACAGAATCAGAATATATGCAGTTAAGAATTTATTTGATAAGGTAAAATAACATTCAATATACACTCATTGGCCAATGAATTAGAAACCCCCCATTCATATTAAGTAAATATGATTTTGCAAATATATGCAAAATCATATTTACTTGTTCATAAGCACCTATTTAAGAATGCTGTTGGTCAGTATGGTCATTAAGTTTATGAAAATGGGAAAAGTGAAGGACTGGTGGAGTTTCAAAAAGGGCTGATTGTGGGTCTTGCTGGAGCCACAATATCAAGAACTGTATAGCTGACTGGTTTTTCCAAAGGTGAGATATCCCAAGTATTCAATCAGTGGAAAAATAACCCATAGTTGATGTCTAAAAGAAGTAACTGTGGCTCCAAAACAGTTAATCAGAAATGCAACTGATGTTGTCTGAAAAGACTAGTGCAAAAAAAAAGGACTTTCTCTTTGCAGCAATTGACAGAAGAACTTAATGAATCCCAATCACAACCCATATCTACCCAAACTATGTGCAGGGAACTGTAAAGAATCAGTATGAACAGTCGCAGGCCTATACAAAAACCACTGATTTCTGCGAAGAACCAGAAAGTTCGTCTACAGTAATACCAAGAGCACTGTGATTGGACATCTGAGGACTGGAAAAAAGTAATGTGTCAGACAAATCATGATACACCCTATTCTGAACCCTATACCGATGGTAGAAAGAGGATTAGGAGGGAGCCCCATGAAGCAATGGACCTTGCTTGCCCCATTAACATGACTCAAGGTTCTAGTGAGGGTGTTATGGTATAGGGCATGTTCTGTTGGCACAGCACTAGTCTGCTGATATTACTGGAAGATTGGGTGATTTCCAATGAGTACTTGAACATCGTTGCTGATCGAGTTCATCCTGCAATGTTGCATTTTTTTTCTGCATGTGACAGTTCTTTCTTTGATAACAGTGCTATTGTCCATCACACAAGAATTGTCCAGCAGTGGTTCAGCAAGCATGAAGACAACTTTCACCACCCATCCTGGCCACCACAGAGCCCAGATCTTAACCCCATCATGAATGTATAGGACATGTTAGAACGACAGATCCGCCAGCAAAGTCCACTTATGTCAAATCTACACAAACTAAAGGAAAGTCTAGTGAATGCATTGGTCTTAGAAGCACTTCAGCACCTTGTAGAATCCATGCCAAATCAAGTAAATGATGTAATTCGAGCTAAAAGTGGTCCAATAAAATATTAAACTGCTGTTTCTAATTCATTGGCCAGTGAGTGGCCAGTGATATATACCATTTTAATAAATAATAGTTAGAAAATATAGTAAAATTGTATCATATGATATTCAGAGATATTATAATTATTAAAATTATAAATAATTTAATTTGTACCTATTTTTCCTATATTATGTTGTTTTCCAATAGCAGGTGTTGGAACAGCATCCCTCCAACTACGAAACTGTGCTTTAAATTCTGATGGTTCTCCACCATCAATTACTCTAGTAACTTGTATGTGATTAGGATAGCCTTTTTTCTTAATGAATCCCTAAAAATTTTATTTAAAACATTAAATTTTTGTATGATAAGTATTTTTAAAAATTATTATTACTGTTGATTTTAACCTGTGCATTTCTCATGGCTTCTGTCCTTTCTTTTGTGCTGGCTTTTTTTCCAACCCAAACCCAAATTCCTGCTTCACCATTATCAATTATATATGAATTCTAAAAATTTCATATTTTCAGTTGATCACAAGTTGTAATAAATAATAATAATATATTTAAAAAGTTGAGATGGTTATTAAGAAAAATAAATATATTAAAAGAAATTGATAAATTTTACCTTTCATAACATAAGTAAGCGGAAACCAGAAAATATACCAAAGCAGTGATATGGCATGAACACAGCACTGAAGGAATTAAGTGAGTTACAAACAACATTCATTAATGAGAAAATAAAGAAAAGATTCCCAATCACCACATTAAAAGTTTTCCTTTCAGAGATATTTTACAAAATTAAATAACCTGAACATCCAAGTCACTTTGATCAATAGGTCCTGTTTTAACTTCAGTCACTTTTAAAGTTCCACCTTCATCAACACATCTGTAAAATGCAAATTATTTTAAATTTTAAAACTTATTTCTTCAATTAAAATTTATAAAATTATATATAACTTCATTATATTTTATGGAATAGAAAGATTAAAGTTGCCGAATGAATAGTTTGTAGGATTTTAATCTTCTTTTGCTTGCTGCTCACTATTTTTGGATTATGAACGTGAAGATATATACTTCTCCTGCAATTGAATTTATTATACATGTAAGATACTATTATAGGTATTGCAAAATTTACAATGATCTTTTCATGACCTGCAGAGCCCAGTTCTAGGGAATTCACTGAACCTGTCTTGGAATGGCCCTGCTAACTAATATATATCAATAAAAAACATATACTCCATTTTTAGTTTGAGGTCAGTCATGATACTTTACAGTAATCATTGTGAATTTTTTTACAAATAATTTTAATTTTTAATAAGAGAACAATTCTAAAAATAAAAATCTGGTAAAAGTGACCAGATCCTGAAATGTAAAAAGTGGGACATTAGTTAGGTGCTATGATGTAATGTCAGATGAGTCACATGATCAATTCCAGTAAACAACTATTAGTTTTCTCATTTGTTTACATCATCAATGACAAATGTTACAAACAACTAGAACATTGTACTTATCCATATACTTTTGTTTACAAATTAATTACTAATGTTCAGCAATAGAGACAATTAACAATTAATTATTGCTCAGATTGTAGCTTTGTTTGCTTTAATCACTGACTTTTAACTCAGATACTTAACAAAAACCATCAACTACCTTTTATAACTGATCCACAAAACTATGATAGTTGCATGTGGTATAAATTCACTGTTATCTGACAGAGTTGTCGGACTGAGCAATGTATTGCCAATTGGGTTACTGTTTCTATAAATGGGATAGATAGTAAAATTTTTATGCTAAAACCTATATGTGATTTATCTTTGACTTACAATTCTTGCAATAAATATTGGATATTTTTCAATATAGGGAAGACCATTCCATGTCCATACACTTTTTAGTTTACATTTGTTGTGAATTGGGATTATAAAGAACAAATTTAATTATAATTATACACTGCCAAAGCACTGCCCATTGCCAACTTTTGAAGTTGCCATTTCATCAGCATCAAAAGTGGATTTCAAAAAAAAAAAAACTTTTCAAAAAACAGAAAATTGTCCAATTGTGGAACATGATAATACATAACCAAACAGTGGCATTCCATCTTCAGACAAAGATTTCAGGGCAGAGAGAATTCAAATATCATGCAAATTTTATAAAAAGTTTAAAACTATCATTCTTGTATTTAAATAATTACAAAATGACTTGAGAATTAAAGGAGTGACACTCATTTGACAATATAAACATTTTAAATATGTAATATCCAGTTTTCATATAAAAGTATAAGCTACACATGCTAATGATAAAATGTTTTTATATTAGCCAACATTTGCAAACCATCAAAAGAGACATTAAATAAAAAGGTTACTGACACTGAATAAAGGATACAGAAATTACAGGTATTAGTAGCTTGGCAAATATATAATTCATGTCAACAAAATATTTCTTTTAATCTCTATGTAAACACCTATGAACAATTTTTTTTGTGAGATATGTGATAAGCTCATCATCAGACAGATTCATTCTGTATTTCTACTCAGGCAATATTTTGGCAATGGCATTTTGAAGATCATTTATATAAATATAACTCTTAACAATGATTAATTTTGAAAAGATTCGATTTTAATGTAAGCCTGTTGCAACATTCTATCAATGGAAACACTTGACAAGATACAAGTGCAAAATTTAAATTGTGTGTTGGTGGAACTGTCTACACATGGAACAGTCTTTTCTAATTATGAAAGAGTCCAAAAGTAGGGCATTTTTTCAAACAGTTTAACAATTAGAACAGCATATTAAAAATTAGTGGGACTTTCCCACCTAATTCAGTACTTCTGGTCACATTAAATTATGGTGCATCAATAAATATATTACATATAACATTATAATTCAAATTAAATATTTTTTAATAAATTGCTAATAAAGTTAATACAGTAGAACCTCGAAAACTCAGCCTAATGTGGACCGAAGGGTGGCCGAGTTTGTGAAAATGCCAGGTTATCGGGAATGGGGTTAAAAAAAATAAGTATGAGTGTTTCCTCAGAAAATACTGTACTGTACTTGTATGTATTGTTTACTTGAGAATATAACAGAGAATAAACTGCCCAAATACCCTTAAACAAAGGAAAAGTACGTCCTTTATGAAGGCATAGAGCCTTTACTACATGAAAATGAAAATTAATGAATACACTGTGTACAGTAATTTACCTGATAAGACAGACCTCAGAAAAAT